CCGCAGGCGTAGGTAGATGGGTAGAGCGATTCTTGGTTTGAGCATGAACAGCCAAGACAGGAGCCCGCCGAAAGCGCCTTCTCTCGACGTGTGCGACGATGCAGACACCTCCTGTGGCTTTCCAGGATCGGCCGCCCACCATGGGCTGAACCATCGTAAGAAAACCATATGTCTAATATTGCTGTCTAGTGCCCTCTCCAGCAACTTGACGGCACCATGACAGTCCCAGAGAGCCCCAAAAGGAGTGCAATACGCCCAAGCACTATCCAAGATCGGCCCAACAAGCTTCCGAGGAGGGCTCCAAGATGTCCCCAGCATGCCACCATAACCACGGAAAAAACGAGGTGCGCCACGTTCAGACACTCAGAACAAGACGAGAGCTCGCTGCGGGTTTGTCTTTGGCTGTTGTGCACGCCTTCGAGCCTCTTCTTTTCAACAAGCACGTTCTACTACTCGCAAAATAGCTACTCGCAGATGGCCTGGATCCACCGTGGGGGATGTACGATCCGCTACATGAGAGGAGCGAGGAAGACAGATATTTTCCGGACGTCTGCGAGTAGGCACTCGGCGAGCAGCTCGGGACGCGCTGGGGGGCTCCTGGCGCAGCCCAGAGCCAAGCCCTCGTGGGCGGAAAGGGGGACGCGCAGTCCGCGGGGCCCGGGTCACTGCACCCACCCGGAAGACGTGCTGCCGCGGATGTCTGCGTGGTCTTATTTCGGCGGTGGGCAAACCTCCCTTTAGTAGACCTCCCCTTAGTGAAAACGGCCCGGGACCGAAACCGACGGACCTGGACCCGCAAAAAGGACGGCCGCGACGCAGTCTCGCGAATCGAAAACGGCCAATTCCTTAATCGACGCGTCAGGGTAGGAGGTCTGTCCACCCCCGATTATTTCCGTGCAGTACCTCGAAGCGGCGAGCGAAACACGAAGCGAATTTCACGTGGATGCTTTGGAATCTTCGTTCCTGGCCCCAACAAGCTCCGAAGAAGATTCACCTCGAAATCCGGAACGACATTCTCCAGGACGATCCGGGCCCATACTATGGTTTTCCGCACGACATCCGCTCTGCAATGTTGGCGCCACGACTAGAGAAGAGGCAGGGGGGGCCCAGAATCGAATCGATTAAGTCGGATTGGCGATCGAAATGAATCGGATCGGCGAAATTAAATCGGCTGCCGAGTCGGGAAAAGTCGAATCGGCGGAAATCGGCAGGCAAATATGCGTCCGATAAAAAATCGGAGCCCGAATCGGAATCCGCAATCGAACCGAATTGGAATCGAAGGATTCGAATCGAATCGAATCGGAATCGAAATCGAATCGAACCGAATCGGAAGCGGAAGCCATCGAAATCGAATCGAATCGAGTCGGAGCATTCGAAATGAGCCCCGAGCGGGGCCCGCTCGCAACGTGACCACGGGGGGGGAGGAGGGGGAGGGGGAGGAGGAAGGGAGGAGGAGGAGGAGGAGGAGAGGAGGAGGAGGAGAGGAGGAGGAGGGAGGAGGAGGAGGAGGAGGAGGAGGAGGAGGAGGAGGAGTAGGAGAGGAGGAGGAGGAGGAGGGAGGAAGGGAGGAGGAGGAGAGGAGGAGGAGGAGGAGGAGGAGGAGGGGAGGAGGAGGAGGAGGAGGAGGAGGAGGAGGAGGAAGGAGGAGGAGGAGGAGGAGGAAGGGAGGAGGAGGAGGAGGAGCGGGGCCCGCTCGCAACGTGACCACACGGGGGGTGGGGGGGGCGGGGCGCCTGCACTGGCAGGGGTCTGGAGGCCGAAGCGAGCGGGAGCGCCCATGGAGCTGGGGCGGCCCTCCTACTACTACAGGGCAGGTTTTAATACATTTTTTAAACAAAAAACATCTGGTTTTTAATACATGATCAATGTATGAATAAGTTTATGCATGAACTCCTCATTGTTTTTATTCCTGAACCCCTGCATCTTTAATGCATGATCTGCACGCGGAGCATGTATAAAAACGGCACTGTACGACTAGGTCGGTCGTGTCCTCCTTTAGGCGGATTTTGGATGAGCCAAAAGGTATCCGACAATCAGCAGAGGTAGTCCACAGAGCACGTACAAAATCGTCACCAGACTCTCTCTTCTTTTCTTGCTTCCCCTATTCTTGAGCTTTCCTTCTGTAGAGGGACGTGCCCGCTCGAATCCTACCACCAGCGGCCCAGAGGCCCGCCAAGCGGCCGGGTTGCTGGGCCGAGGGCGGCCGGCTGGGAGCCCCCCACCCCGCAAGCGGGCCTCCGCGAGCGAGGCCTCCGCGCCGGGTGCTTGTGCGCGCCGAGGGCGGCGCGGCGCGCCCGAGAAGCAGCCAGCGCCGCAGGCGAGGTGGGCATGCAACCGCGGCGTCACCGACCACGCACGCAGCCACACTCACAAATGTATGTGTATGTATGTATGTATCCACGTATGTATGCATGCATGTATGTATGCCTGCCTGCCTGCCTGCCTGCCTGCCTTTATGTCTGTCTGTCTGTATATATGTATTTAGATATGTATGTGCGTGTATGTATGCATGTGTATACACGTATATGTATATACATGTATGCATGTATGCACGCATGTGTGTGTGCATGCATGTGTGCATATATGTATATATGTATGTGGATGCTTATGTATGTGTATCTGTATGTATATATGTATGATCGTATGTATGTATGAATGCGTTGTGTATGCTCGTTCGTATGTTTGTATGTATGTATGTATGCATGTATGTATGTATGTACGCATGTATGTATGTATGTGTGTATGCATGCATAACTGTGTATAAATGTGCCTATGTATGTATGCATGTATGTGTGTATATGTGTATATGTGTATGTATGTATGTATGTCTGTCTGTCTGTCTGTCTGTCTGTCTGTCTGTCTGTATGTATGTATGTATGTATGTATGTATGTGTATGTATGTGTGTATGCAGGTAGGTAGGTAGGTAGGTAGGTAGGTAGGTCGGTAGGTAGGTAGGTAGGTAGGTAGGTAGGTAGGTAGGTAGGTAGGTAGGTAGGTAGGTGTGTATGTATGTGTGCATGCATGTGCGTAGGTAAGTTGTGCCATGTATGTATGTAGTTATGTATGTATGTACGTAGGCATGCATGAATGAATGTATGTGTCTATGAATACCCGTGTGCACATGCACACCAGAGCCACGCGCTCGCTGCGCGCGCGCTTTTGTTCCAGGGCCTACTCCGCAGTCATTGTCAACAGGCTCTGCGCGAATCCACACGCTCGAGTTTATACCAAAGGAGACGTGCCCCGAGCGCAGGCCCCCCTGCGCGCGTGGTGCCGGGCCTCCTGAGGGATCGCAGCGGGCCTGCGGGGCAGTCGCGGGGTCCGTCGACCCTTTTGGGCCACCAAGGCGTGCGAGATTCTCTCCCCTCCCATCATCGCTCTGGACACGGGGGGGGGGTCAAAATTGTACCTGAGAGTGCTGAGCGAACTTTGCCCGCTTGACACGTGGTATCCCAGCTGTCCAACGGGCAATCAGCCACACTTTCCTTCAAGATTTCCTGTTTGGCAACAGGGATCCCATTCTAAAATGGGCAGTTCGGTACCCCGATGACCCATTTGGCAACGGGAGTCCTTTGCGAATTGGGCGATCGGGGCTCCATTCGCCCGCCTCGGCGTAACCCCCTCGATTCCTCACTTGAATGTAGTCCCCCACGGTCAAAACGGCAATCGGAGCTCAATTCCAGCGACTCGCCCCCCCCGATTGACAGTTGGTCCCCGCTGGCGAAGTGGCAATCGGAGCTCAACTCCCGCGCCTCGGCCTGCCTCCCCGATGGTCCACGTGACGGTGGGCTCCCGCTGTCAAATCGCAAATCGGACTCCCCTGGCCACCCAGACCTGGCCGCCAAACAAACTGTTTGTTAATGGGGCGCCACTGCCAAATGCGCTAGCGACCTCCTCCCTCCCGCCTTGGCTGGGCCTGCACGTTTGCCAGTTGAGCCTCACTGTCAAAATGCGAGCCCCCCGAACCGCTGCTCACTGTGCAAGTCGGCTCCCGAACCTGCACCCATGCTGCAAAAAGGCCTCCTGGAAGACCACAAAAGAGCATCGCAAGAGCGTCCTGATGACCCCTCACAAGCTTCGTAACGAGAGGGGCCCCAGAGAGGGGCACCTTACTAACAAACCATGGAACATTGAATTTGTCAACCTAGATTTTCGGCCTCTCCATGCTCGCGCCATCCAGAACGTCTCCATGGCAATTTCCACCGCTCCTTTGGGTGCGCGGCCATTCCATCTGCACCGATCGCAAAATCATTGCGGCCCGGCTGGCACCGAAAGAATAGATTCGAAACAACTGAATGCAAGCGGTGAACCGTCAACCTGGTCACCGCCAGAAATCTCGTAGAGATCCTCGCGCACGTTTTATTTCTGGTGGCCACAAATCGTCGCTCCACCGATTGCCTCACTGCCACGGTGCCGCATAGCACCCCTTCGCCCATGTGGGGACACCCCTCAAACATTCCATGACCCCGCGGGTGGCTGGCTGGTCTGGTTGGCGTCAGCAGTTGTAGCAGTTTTTTCTCGACGCATAGTCAGGCGCTGGGGCATAAGAACTCTTCGCTCCACTCGGCAAAGAAAAAAAACCTTTGTGACTTCAGGGACCTCACGACGAGCTCAATGGGAGTCGCGGAAGAGTCCTCTTGGAACAATCTTGGGGCAATATTGAGTCCCTCTTGGGGTGTCTTGGGGTCTTCGCGGCCCGTCGATGGTCCCTGCGAAAACTCCCTTGAGCCCTTTTTGGTGCGTCTTTGGGCTGTCCTGGTCCGGTGTGGGTCTCTTCTCGGACCATCTTGGAATCCTTTTGGGCGCCTCTGAGTCCCGCGGGCTTGGATTCACCCTGAGCAAAAGAGAACTGACACAACGATTACAAACAAGCCTGCCGCATGGTTTGACTGATGTTGGTCGTCAAGATATATTCGTGGGACCCCCTGGGACCATCTTGGAGGCATCCTGGGGCCCTCTCGGGCTGCCCTGAGGCCCTCTTCGGCAACGTTGGCGACGTCTCGGGTCTTCTTAAGTGGGACCTTTTCTGTTGAGCTGAGTCAACATGCAGCAGGCAATGTTTGCGGTGCGAGCGGCAATGGGCGCCCCCTGCTATATGCGGGTGTATGCCACTGTCACCTCACACTTCTGCAAAGCTACGCGCCTCGCAGCATGGAGACACAACGTGCAACAAACAATGTCTGCAATGCGAGCGGGAATGGTGCCCTCTGCTATTTGCGGGTGCCTGCCGCTATGCCCTCACAGCTCGTGCAGCAAAACTACGCGCCAACTCGGTACAACAACTGGCGATGATGACACGGCAGCTGCGCGCAATTTCGCGAGAAGAAAAGATGAGAAAATTAGCATAATCGTTCAGACTCTTGGAAGGCATGGCATGTAGAGCCGTATGTGTGCTCTCTTGGGGTGCCGCTTGGACCCTCAACGGCCCTTTGGGGGCCGTCTTGGGGCCCTCGGGGCAGCTGGGGTACCATGGGGGCCTCTTGGAAGCCTCTTGGGGCTTGGCAGGCGGGGTCGGCGTCTGTGTTGCCGCTCCTGGGGCTCGCCTGGAGGCGTCTTGAGCCCACTCGCGGGGCCTCTTGGGCCGTGGAGGGGCCCTCTGGGGCCGTCTTGGGGCTCTCTTGGAGATCACTGGGGCCGTTTGCGGGCCGTCTGTGGGCGTCTTGATCCGTTGGGGGCTCAGAAACGCGAGAACGCTGACACCGTTCAATATTTCTAATGCCTTCTTCAGCGGGTCGCGGGGTGGGGGTCGCGGGTGGGTCGCGGGTGGGTCGCGGGTGGGTCGCGGGTGGGTCGCGGGTTGGATCGCTGGTGGGTCGCGGGGTGGGTCGCGGGGTGGGTCGCGGGGTGGGTCGCGGGTGAGTCGCGGGTGGGGCGACGACAAACAACAACATCAACAACAACAACTATTACAACAACAGCAATAATACTGATATTAACAACACCAGCAACACCAACAACATCAACCACAACAACAACAACAATGATGTTACCCTCATGCGCGATCATTCTACACGAAGCATGCGACCATCATGATAACCATCCCCATCATGGGGGATTCTTGTTCAATAGCGGGGTCCGTTATTCCCATTCCCAGATCTCCCTCCCAATGAGGTCTTGCAAACACCTCCCCCGAAGAATTTCAACACATCCTGCCTCGAAAAAACATGCCCGCGCCTTGCTGCGCCGATGCGAGACCGCCAGTGGAGCCCCAGCCAAGGGTAAAGCGCAAGGAAGTATCGAGCGACAGGATTGCCTTAGTGGAGATGGGGGCTGTCGGCGGCGAGGCAAAGACCTGGCCATGAATAGAAAGGAAGTCTCGAGCAAGGCCGCTGTTGTTGCTGGGGGCGGCGCAAATGCTGAAATGAGTAGGGCGGTAATCCAACGTAAAACAAAACGAAATCTCGAGCGGGAACGCCGGTTTTGTTGGGACGGCGGTTGTCGGCGGCGAGGAGGAACACCGCCTTGAGTAAGAAGGGAGGAAGTCTCGAGGGGGAGCCATGGTTTTGTTGGGACGGCAGCTTTCGGCGGCGAGCAAAAGCACCGTCCTGAGGAAAAAGGAAGGAAACCTCGAGCGAGAGCGTTGTTCTTGCTGGGAGCGGCGCCAATTCAAAAGAGAGTAGGGCGCCAGTCCAGCGTAAAACGGGCGGAAGTCTCGGGCGGGAGCGCTGGCTTTGTCGGGACGGCGGCTGCCGGCGGCGAGGAGGAGCACCGCCTTGAGTAAAAAAGGGAGGAAGTCTCGAGCGGGAGCATGTTGTTGCTGGGGGCGGCGCCGACGAGAGAAAGAGTGGCGCGCCACTCCAAAGTAAAAAGAGAGGAAGTCTTGAGCGGTAGCGCTGGTTTTGTTGGGACGGCAGCTTTCGGCGGCGAGCAAAAGCACCGTCCTGAGGGACAAGGAAGGAAACCTCGAACGGGAGCGTTGTTCTTGCTGGGAGCGGCGCCAATTCAAAAGAGAGTAGGGCGCCAGTCCAGCGTAAAACGGGCGGAAGTCTCGGGCGGGAGCGCTGGTCTTGTCGAGACGGCCAGTACCGGCGGCGAGCAAAAGCACCGCCTTGAGTTACGTATATCCCAAACCCTCGGTACCCGCCTTCTTAGTCTTCGACCGTACCCCCTCGGCGGTATATCTTCCTTACCTGCCGCGCACATTTAGCGCAACCCCTAAAACAGAGGAAGGGAGGACGGACGGGGGAAGAGAAGGATGGACCACGCCAGAGGGCCTCTCGGAGCAAATCGCGAGGAAGCATCGAGCGGGAGCCCTTGTCATCGCGGCTGCGTCCCCACTAATTTGACCGAGTTGAGAGGATGTCCACAGCGAGAGCGCTGTTCCTGAGTTCGGGAACCTCTCTGGCCAAGGCCTCCCAGATCGCGAGGAAATATCGAGCGGGAGCCTTGTCGTCGCGGCTGGGCATCCGCGAACTTGACTGCATTGCGAAGAAGTCTCATACGAGAGCGGCGTTCCTGGAACATCGGCGGGCTGGGGCCTCTGTGGGCGCGCTTGGGGCCTCTGTGGGCTGCGTTGGGGAGCCTCAGTGGGCAGCGCGCTGGGGCCTGTGCCGGCGCGCTTGGGGCCTCTGCGGGCTGGGGCCTCTGTGGGCGTGGGCAGCGCGCTGGGGCCTCTGCGGGCGCGCTTGGGGCCTCTGTGGGCTGGGGCCTCTGCAGGCTGCGTCGGGGGCCTCGGTGGGCAGCGCGCTGAGGCATCTGTGGGCGCACTTGGGGCCTCTGCGGGCGAAGGCCTTTGTGGGCGCGCTTGGGGCCTCTGGCGCTGGAGATTCCGTGGGCGCGCTTAGGGCCTGTGGGCTGGGGCCTAAGTGGGCAGCGCGCTGGGGCCTCTGTGGACGCGCTTGGGGCCTCTGTGGGCGCGTTTGGGCCTCTGTGGACTGGGGCCTCTGTGGGCGCGCTGGGGCCTTTGTTGGCTGTGCCGGAGGGTTTCAGTGGGCAGCGTGCGGGGGCCTCGGCGCGCTTGGGGCCTCTGTAGGCAGGAGCCTCTGCGGGCGCGTGTCGGGCTTTTGTAGGAAGTCGGGGCCTCACTGGGCAGTGCGCTGGGGCCTCCGTGGGCACGCTCGGGGCCTCCGTGGGCTGTGTCGGGGGCCTCAGTGGGCAGCGCGCGGGAGCCTCTGTGGGCGCGCTTCGGGCCTCTGCGGGCTGGGGCCTCTGTGGGCGCGCTCGGGGCCTCTGTGGTCTGTGCCGGATGGCCTCAGTGGGCAGCGCGCGGGGGCCTCTGTGGGCGCGCTCGGGGCCTCTGCGGGCAAGGGCCTCTGTGGGCGAGCTCGGGGCCTCTGTGGGCGGGGGCCTCTGTGGGCTGTGTCGGGGGCCTCTGTGGAACGGGGGGCCTCCGTGGGCAGCGCGCTGGGGCCTCCGTTGGCACGCTCGGGCCGGGGTTTTGAGCCTCTATGGATTGTGCTGGAGGGCCTCATTGGACAACGCGCTGGGCGAGGCCTCTGTGGGCGCGCTTGGGGCCTCTGTGGGTTGGAGCCTCTGTGGGCTGTGTCAGGGATCTCACTGGGCAGCGCGCTGGGTGCTCTGTGGGCGCGCTTGGGGCCTCTGTGGGCAATGCGGGGGAGCCTCTGTGGGTGCGCTTGGCGCCTATGTGGGCTGTGCTGGAGGGCCTGCGGGCAGCATGTTACGGCCCCTGTGGGCTTCCTCTGGGCCTCAGTGTGTTGTGTGTCAGGGGCCTCAGTGGGCAGCGCGCCAAGACCTCGGTGGGCAAGGGCCTTTGCGAGTACGTCTTGAGGAAATATCGAACGGGAGCCCTTGTCGTCGCATGTGGGCCTCCACCAATTTGACTGAATCATGAGGAAGTCTCGAGCGAGAGCGCCGTTCCTGAGTTCGGGTGCCTTCCTGGCCAGGGGCTCTCGGAGAAAAACGTGAGGAAATATCGGGCAGGAGCCTTTGTCGTCGTGGCTGGGCCCCCACCAACTTGATTGAATTGCGAGGAAGTCTCGAGCGAGAGCGCCGTTCCTGAGTTCGGAGGCCTCTCTGGCCAGGGTGTCTCGAAGTAAATTGTGAGGAAGTATCGGGCGGGAGCCGTTGTTGTCGTGGCTGGGCATCCAAGGGCGCACTTTTAGGGTCAAACCAACGCTCGAGCGGGAGCCTCGTTTTCAGAGAAAATGTAGCCAGCGTCGAGGCGAGAGCGCCCAGAACCGTTTCCGGAGATCAGCAATAATTATTTTCTAGACATGAATATTCAAAACAACAACATCAGTAACAACATCAACAACACCAACAACAACAACAGCAGCAGCAGCAACAACAACAACAACAACACCAACACCACCAACAACAACAACACCACCACCAACAACAACAACAACCACAACCACAACCACAAACACAACCACACCAACACCAACAACAACAACAACAACAGCACCAACAACAACAACAACAACAACAACATCAACAACCACAACAACAACAACAACAACAACGCAACAAGCGAAACTCTCACCACGGATTTCCTATTCAGCCACGCGCCCAGGGACAATCAATAACCGTTCGGCCCCCTCTCTCTCTGATATATACACACACGTGCACACGATACACACAGACCCACGCCAAGCAAACACGCGAGGACATATGTATTCACCATGACGCGAAACATCACTCAGGCCGCAACGGCAACGGCAAAAGAACATTCCAAACAACCGTCTGGGTACACGGGTGCGATGAGATCGAACACTCATGCACTTCTCATGGTTATAACTCAGTGCTCTGGCGCATCTGTGCATCTGGACTTTTCCTGTCGCTGCAGGGAACTAGATGGCATCGAACAGCGGACTGAATTGATGTAAGGGCAATCCGGTATGCAGCTTCACAACGGGGCTGGAGCAAACCGTCCTTTGCATCGCAATTGCCAAAGAGGCCCCAGAAACTACCTTCACTAGCTGCATGTGTAGATCGATTCCCTCCGAGGTACTTGTCAAGCTTCTCCAGTCCGCGCTGGATCTCGCCACCAAGAGACTCCTTGCCTCGGATGTTGCCCTCGAAAGCGGCAAGCATTTTGGGGAGCCAGCTTTGAACAGATTGGGCAACCAAACCATCAAACAATTCTAAATATTTGGTGTTCAGAACCTTCCACATCGAGTGCCCGTTCTTGGTATGACGTAGCGCCATCATCCGCAAGAGCTGAGAGAAATCAAGTCCCTGCCCACGGCCCCCCTCGACAAGCCTAGCCTTGAGGCTCGCTCCTGCATCGAAAGACCAGCGGATACAATCGTTTTCCGAGGTGGCGTTGGTTGCTTGCACGGTAAAAGCGCTTGAAGTGTGCCACAGGTGTGGCTGACTAGGGTCCGCGACCGTATGCAAAAATCTTGCTCGGAGCCACGGGGCAGTTTTGATCACCCGTTTCTGTAAGCGCTTTCTCGCAGCGCTCAGTCGCCCATCAGCCTCGGTATCTTTATGGAGTCCAGAATATTTGGGATGAGCTGTATGGCACTGCTCTTCACGTTTTTTGCGATGCCGATCATCCAGCGTCCACCACCACAAATCAAATGGATTCCGACTGTGAAACCAAAAGTTAATTGCAACAGCTGCTTCTTCTTGGTTGTGTGTAGTTGTATGCCACCACTGCTTTGGCAAGATCAAGATATCGCCAGGATGCAAAGTGGCAATCATACGAGATGCTGAACTCAAATTTGCCCTTCCTGGCGCATCACCTCCCATGCTGGACCACGACTTCTGCATCTTTGGTATACTGCTCTTAGCCCGCCAACGCCAGTGATCGTTTATAGCAAGGTACCGCAACTCGCGGCGGCTCTTTACCAGATAGCTTTGCCATGGCGGGATGAGTTGAAAAGTTTTCGTCCCATTCAATTGCATCATGACGTTGTGATTATCGTCCCTGTGCATCAAGGCCTGACCTAAGCCCCCCGGAGCTTTGATCCAAAGGCGAGCGCTTTCGATTGGAAACGGTAGCCACCTAGGCAATGCTGCCGTCACGTAGTCTCGCAAGCCTTCTGGGAGAACCGCCTGAGCTGCGTAGAAACTAAGATTTGAATCGTGATGTTGCTTCAGTTGCAGCAGCCTGACTAAATCAGCCATGTTGGTTTCGAACATCACCTCATGATCATAATTGTTTGGGCCGGTGAAACCATTATCACTGGCATGAACATTCACCGCTGTGTTTGCACCTGCGAGCTCCACTAAACGAGGTTCCAATCCTCTGAGAGCCGCGGGAACAGAATCTCTAAACATAAAGGGCTCATGGACGTTGAGTTTCGCCAAAAAGTCGCACAGAGTGTATGTGTCCAATGGCGCATGCTCTGTTCTTACAGTCGACAGCTCTGCGGCTGCTGCGTACAACAGCAACAATCCAAGGATAGTGCTGGCATTTGCCATGTGCAATTCTGTGTTATGTGGCGGGGGGGATGCGCAACCAAATCAAGCAACGCATGCCAACGTGAGCCATCATCCGGAGCCATTGCTTGATTAGAGCACTGCTGATTCGGAATTCGTGTCAATCACACATGTGTCACATAGCGGACCTGTTCCTAACCCAATGATGGCGAAATGCAAATTGTACCCTACGAACTAGTCCTCGCTTCCAAAGACATCTTGTTGCACACAGCCCCTACAGTATGGTGAACAGCTTCCGTCTTGGGTCGTCTTGGAGGGGTCTTCGGTGATCTCGTTTCCGGGTTTCGACACGTTTCGGGTACGTTCCTCAGATCGAGGGGAGCAACACAAAACAAAGCTATGGAACAATACCTCGCTGGGGCCGAACCTTAGCTGAAACTGGCCCCATGTATGTACGCGTCTGTATGCCTGTAGCTGTGCACGCATGCACGCTCGCAAAATGTGAGCAAACACGCTTGAGGATGAAACACAACGTGCCCCCGAATCTCGCGATTCTGGAAACGCTATCCTTCCGGGACCAGAAGCACTTTGACCTACTTTCTGGGTCGAAATGTAGAGCGGGCAACAAGAATTTCATCGAGCTTCAGAAATCTTAACACCGTATCCAGAGCAGCTTGGGCTCTGGAATCTCGCCAGCTCTTTGCGCGGAGGTGGTATCACGAGTTCTTCCCCCGCGACGGGCCGGGGCTGATAGGATTTAAGAGCAGAGCTCCCGACCCGCCCGCTCTGAATAACGCGGCCTCCCACTCCCCAGGTCCACCGTGGATCCCAAACGTCCTGCTCCCCACCTCGCCTTCTAACGCTTCTGACCGCCCTGCATGCCGCGGCGGCCAGATTCCCAGGCCTACCTCGGATCCCGAGTGTCCCGCTCCCCGCCTCGCCCTTTGCTGCGATTGAGACTACCACTACCACTACTACTGGCCTCGATACTGCTACCACTACTGCTACAAGTAGAGCGGAGAATGATCCACTTTAGTCCGATCGAAGAGGCTATACCATACCATTACACACTGTAGCAATACGTCGACGTAACAGACTTGTACGTAAGAGCGTCTCCATAACAGGACACCCGATCTTATACATAGCAACACACAATATGATCATGGACCTGGGGGGAGGAACAGTGCAGCATATCCGCCCTTGTGCACCTGTGCCACGAAGTGGAATGTCCCCAGGCCCCTTGCTCAAGCCCTGAACCTCGATCCTCAACCCTGAAGGCTCTTTAAGGGGCAGGGCCCCGAGCTCTCAGATCTGCGGGGCTTCCCGCGTACCCTCTGGTGTGCGTCGGGTGTTCCGAGTGAGCTTGGGGGAGCCAAGCGGACCCAAAGGCGTGCCAAGAGACCCCCAAGAAGCCGCCCAGACGGTCCAACGGCCGCCCCCGCCAGGGCCCCACGGCGACGACCCCTGGGCTCCCCGCCCCCGCCGCCGGAGCCGGAGCCTCCAGCGCCGAACTGCTCAACTCACTGTGAGCCTGCGTTCGCACTTTCAGACCAGGCGCTGTGCCTGGGCAGCGCAGGCCACCGAGGCCAACGAGCAAACGCGCCAGTCAACCAACACCGTCCGTCGTCGCCTGCTCCCACTGGATCCTCCATCCTTGCCCCGAACCGCGAACCAGGTCCTCTGCATCGACCGCGCTGCTGGTGTCCCGTGCACGCGTGCCGGACGCCGTGCTCTGCAGCAGCAGGCGCGTGTGGCGCGGCTCAGCACGACCAGCAGGGCGCCCCCGGGAGCGTGACAGCATTTTCCCAGCGCAACCTCAGAATGGTGGCAGCTCGCGCGCGTGCCCTTCGCACCACGCGCCACGTGAAAAAGCGATCGCGAAGCAAATCCGCAGCCCCCAATCGAGACGAGGCCGCTGCTGCGCGATGCAGCGCTGCACCCCCTCAGCGACCGAAGCGGAGTATCTTTTAACCGATCCCCATCCCCAGCGGCGTGGCCTGGGCCCCACTGGTCGATTTACCTCCCTAGATGGGGATACAGGTCGTTCCCTTCGGGTTTCGAGGGGTGTATCCCCGACTGGGGTCTCGAAGGGGATGGGGATGGGGACGGGGATCGGTCAAGTGCTACCGACGCGAAGCAAATCCACAGCCCCAATCGAGACGGGGCCGCTGCTGCGCGATGCAGCGCAGCACCCTCCCTCCTCCTCCTCCTCCTCCTCCTCCTCCTCCTCCTCCTCCTCCTCCTCCTCCCGCTCCTCTCCCGCTCCTCCTCCCGCTCCTCTCCTCCTCCCTCCTCCTCCTCCTCCTCCTCTCCTCCTCCTTCCTCCCTCCTCCCCCCTCCTCCTCCTCCTCCTCCTCCTCCTCCTCCTTCTCCTCCTCCTCCTCCTCCTCCTCCTCCTCCTCCGCGGCGACAGGAGAGCATGGCGGCAGCCCCCCGAGGGCACGAGCATTGTGCGAGGCGCGCGCGCCTGGCGCCGTCACCCCCCTGCGCCTCTGGCTGGCCGAGGGCGCTGCCGCACGCTTCGTCGTGGTCCCCCCCCAGACATCCGACGCCTCGATTTTTCCAAGGCGCGGGCCCTTTTTTTGGTGGATGGATCTCTCGAGCTCTCCGCCGCCTCTGGCGGTGTGCGCTGCGAGCAGGAGCGCTCCAGAGCCACAGGAGAGCGCGGTATCGACAGTGTGGCCCGACCGCTGCCCCAGGACCGGCTTGTCACCCCGCCTCGTTCTTTGACTAGGGGGGCACATGCGAACCCCACCCCGTTCCCCATCACGATTTCTGAGGGGGAGGGGGGGGGGGTCGCTCCACTCGGGAGCTCCCGAGCGAAGTGAACCCCCGCCCTCCCCTCCCCCCCAGAAATCGTGGGGGGTAGGGGTAGGGTTCGCATGTGGCCCCCTATTGACGGCCCCGAGGCCCGGCGTGGGGGCCCGCGTTTGCCGAGACGCCCGACGTCTGGGCCTGGCTCGCCCCGGGACGCCGGCCGCGGCGGGGCCGCGCGGACGGCGCCGCCTGGGCGCGGGCCTACGACTGGCCCGCGCCGCTGGGCGCCTCGCCGCGCACGGGCGCCAGGAAGGCGGGCGCGGCCCCGACGCCGCGCTCGTCGGAGACCTCGTGCAGGTAGGTGTAGCGCCCCTCCGCGTCCCCGAAGGGCAGGGCCAGGCCGCCGGCCACCAGCAGGAAGCGCGCGTCGCGCTCCGACGGGGCCCCCTGCACGGTCTCCCCGTTGCGGGGCCACGGCGGGCCGTCCGGCGACCTGACCGTGACGTACCTCGCCTCCGCCTCCGACCTGGGAGGGCGCGAAGTGCGCTCGGGCGCTCTGGCTTGCCGCGCCGCGGCGGCGGCCCCAGCGACTCGTGATGCCCTGCGAGCGCGCGGCGTGTCCCTCCGCTCCGCGCGACGGGACGCTCGGCAAGGCTCGGGACACCGACGCTATGGGGGACTGGGCCGTGGATAGCGTGTGCCGCGCCGAGGCGTGGCGGGCCAGAACCGGCGGCGCGACACGTTCTCAACCGTGTGCACGACCCCACCCCCCCGCCCGTCGTGATTCTTTCATGACGTCGACCCCCATTCGTCTGGACCCCCAACCCCCCGACGTCGTGATTCTTTCATGACGTCGACCCCCATTTGTCTGGACCCCTTCCCCGTGACCGGTCTCTCATCCTGCTGGGTCGTTCTTACTGACGGCCCCGAGGCCCGGCAATGGGCCCCGGAGCCCGAACATCGAGATAGCCCGCCCGTCGTGATTTTCACACAGCGCGAGGGGGCCTGGGACGACTGATCCTGGCCAGGACCATCCTGGGCCACGGATCCTTACATCGACGAGCGCGTTCCACTGCTCGCAGAGGGACTGCTCGCACATGGCCTGGATCCCCCGCGGGGGATCTACGATCTACGACAAAATTACATCGAAGCAGAAGACCGGTGTGTTTTTGTCTGACGTTTGCGCGAGTGGGCACTCTGCGAGTAGCGGAACGCGCTCGGCGATTACATGCGCCATTCTCCTGGCTCGGCTTGTGCGGCACGGGCCCAGGCCCGGCCCGGCCCGCACCGGTGTGGGCGCCTGGAGTGAGCCCACAGCTGCTCAGCTGGCTGGATTGGCTTCCCGCCCCAGGCATGGTGCGCACGCTTCGCCCCCGGGGCCGTATAGGCGACCCGAGGAGGAGGAGGAGGAGGAGGAGGAGGAGGAGGAGGAGGAGGAGGTGGAGGAGGAGGAGGAGGAGGAGGTGTACGAGGGGGGGGGAGAGGAGGGGGACGGGGAGGAGGAGATGGAGGAGGAGGAGGGGGAGAAGGAGGAGGAAGAGGAGGAGAGGAGGAGGAGGAGGAGGAGGAGGAGGAGGGGAGGAGGAGGAGGAGGAGGAGGAGGAGGAGGGGGAGGGGGAGGAGAAGGAGGAGGAGGAGAGAGGAGGAGGACGGGGAGGGGGGAGGAGGAGAAGAGGAGGGGGGGAGAAGGAGGAGGGGAGGAGAAGGAGGTGGAGGTGGAGGAGGGGGAGGGGGGAGGAGGAGAGGAGGAGGAGAGGAGGAGGAGGAGGAGGAGGAGGAGGAGGAGGAGGAGGAGGAGGTAGATGAGGAGGAGGAGAGGAGGAGGAGGACGAGGAGGACGAGGACGAGGAGGAGGAGGAGGAGGAGGAGGAGAAGGAGAAGGAGAAGGAGGAGGAGGAGGAGGAGGAGGAGGAGGAGGAGGAGGAGGAGGAGGAGGAGGAGGAGGGGTCGCCTAAGACCTTGGGAGAGACCCTCCACAGACATGGTGACGTCCTGATTGCACCCATGCGAGGTCCCCCGAAGCCTCTCGACCCTCTCCTCGGCACTAGTCGTCATGCGGAGCCGTTTTCCTTGACGGTCCCGAGGCCCGGCGAGGGCCCCCCTGGGGGCCGCAAACGACGAAACACCTCCCGTCCGAATTTTTTCACGACACGAGCTGGGCCCAGGGCCCAGTGAGGGCCCCCCCAGAGGCCGCAGACGACGAAACACCCCTCCCGTCTGGATTTTTTTCACGACGCGAGCTGGGCCTGCCTGGCCCAGCGAGGGCCCCCCAAAGGCCGCAGACGACGCAACACCCCTCCCGTCTGGATCTTTGTCGCGGCGCGAGCACGAAACGCCTCCCGACGCGACGCGACGCGACACCTCCCGTCCTGCTGGCCTTCGCGACGCGAGCACGTCTGGGCCCGGACCCCCCCGGCCGGTCCACTGGGGCCGGTCTCTCTCGCTCTCGCCTCCCGCGCGCGCCCCGAGGCCGCCTCCCTACGTGCGCCCGGAGAGATGCCGGCCTCCCGAGGCGCCGGGAGGTGGCGAGGCAGCGGCCGCCGCGAGGTATGCTCCTCCCATCGTACTTTTACCCAGAGATCCAACGCATTTGACAAATCAAGGAGGAGGAAATCAAGAAGAACGTATTGAACAAGTCAAGAAGGAGGTATTTCTTATTTTTTGGCCTCTAGGGGCCCTCGCCGGGCCCCGGGGCCGCAACAAAAACGGCTCAGGATGGAAAGCGGGTCCTGGGGAATGGGTCGAGACTTCCAGGGACCCCGTATGGAACAAAATCACGACGTCGGATCTCTGGGTAAGGGCCACATCCCAGAAATAATGTCGAGCACCCGGAAAAGTATCGAACAGTGTCCAACAAGTTTCGCCTCCCAGGGCCCGACACGTGAAGACCCTCAAGTTTCGGCATGTTCTTAGCGCTCGAAGCTCTTTCTGGTGATCAAGGCTACATTAGGTTGGAACAACATAAGCCTCGAGGTCCTTCGAGCCGCCGGGGCTCTCCCAGACCCCCGACATCGTGTTTTTTTTCAGCGTCGACGTCTCGACCCCTTCCCCGTGACTTGGATTGTCGCCTCGAGTCGATGTTTGACGGTCCCGAGGCCCGGGAAAAGCCCCCCAGGGTGGAACATCGCAACGAAAACCCCCCGTCGTGTTTTTTTTTCGCAGCGCGATGGGGTCTGGGGCCGCCTCGAGGTCCTTCGAGCCGCTGGGGCCCTCGGGTTTCGAGCCGACGTCGCGAACAAAAATGAGACCTGGCCCGAGCCCTAGAGACCCAGACATCCTGGCGAAGGGCTTAACAGTCTCTGCCGGACTGGTGCTGGAGCGGCCACGATTTGCTCACACTGTCCTCGGACTTCTCTGGATTGACCTGGATGTACTTACACGCCGTTCACTTCTCATCGTGCTCATTTATAATTGTGCTCGTTTCTAATTGTTCCTGGCCCCCTAGTGGCCAGGAAAAGGCCCAGGATATAACAATTAGTAATGAAAAGATGTTGGCCCCCCAAAATCAAAGAACTTTCGAATACTTAGAAATGAGCAATGTGTACCTCTATTTGTTTGAAGTTGCCTTGATTTATCCAGCTTTGGTCCCAAGCACTTTTAGAGGCCTCCTAGATGGCGTCCAGGCAGATGGGGTCGAAGGAGCGCGCCGCACAACCGATGCATCGCCGATGTGTCAAAGATGCATCAACGATGCATCGGCAACGTCGGCAGTGCATCAGCAACGTCCGCGTGGAGAAAACTGGTCTCCACATCGAGCCGCATCGCCGATGCATCGGCGACACGGCGCGATCCTCCGACCCCATCTACTCCGACCTCATCTGGGAGGCCTTAAACTTTTCGAGCCAAAGCGGCCCGTGAGGGCCCTGGGGCCCGAACCCCTGGCGAACACGGCCCGTGTGAGCAAACATGCGACGTAAGGGTCTCAGAGAAGGTCTCTGCCCAAACCTCCGACGTTTGATTTTTCCTATGCGGGGCGCTGGAAACTCTCGACCCTTTCCCCAAGACTGGCTTTTCGTCCCAGCTAGTTTTTTAGCGGTCCCAGGATCTGGCGAGGGCCCCCAAACGCCGAAAACGGCGAACCCCCCGCCTTGACTTTCTATCAGCGCGTTGGACCCAAGCATGCGAGATTCAGATTTTTGTGTACGCGGTCTCTGAGGTCCCGACACTTTCCCCAAGGCCGATTTTTCATTCCGAAACTTTGTTTGACGGTCACGGGGCCCGCGACCGTCAAAAAACGACGAGAGCATGTCTCGTCGCCCGAGGACCACGTGCGCCAGAAGAGCTCAGCGCAGCCCTCGGCAAACGCTGCCGTCGTCGCCGCCGTCGTCGTCGTCGTCGCCGTCGTCGCTGTCGTGTCGTCGCCGTCGCCGTCGTCGTCGTCGCCGCCGTCGTCGTCGTCGTCGCCGTCGCCGTCGCCGTCGCCGTCGCCGTCGTCGCCGCCGTCGCCGCCGCCGTCGCCGTCGCCGCCGCCGCCGCCCGGAGGCCAGGTGCGCCAGAAGAGCCCGGTGCAGCCCTCGGCGGAGGCGTCGACCCGGTAGCGCAGGGGCTCGGCGGCCGCCCGGGCGCGGGCGCAGAGCAGGGGCAGCAGCAGGCCGCCCACGAGGCGGGCCATGCTCCCAGGGAGCGGCTGCCCGCGGGAGCGGCCGCGGGGCGTGCGAGGGGCCTCCCGCCTGCCTCCTCCCTGCTCCCTGCCCCCTTGTTCCCTGCTTCCTCCTCTCTCCTCCCTCCTTCCCTCCTCCCTCCTGCCTCCTCCTTCTTCGTCCTTCTCCCCGTCCTCCTCCTCCTCCTCCTCCTCCTCCTCCTCCTCCTTCTATTCCTTCAGTGACCCTCAGAGAAGAGAACACGGGTACCGACTATACAGAGAAGAAGAGAGAAAGAGAGAGGGAGAAAGAGATAGAGAGGGAGGGAGGGAGAGAGAGAGAGAGACAGAGAGAGAGAGAGAGAGAACAAAACAAGAGATGCAGCAACAAGCCAGCGAAACATAACTGGATAAGTTGGCTCCCCGTGCTGCACGCGGCGGCTGCTCAGGGGTCTGGCAGCGGCGGCGGAACAGCGAGAACCTCGGAAACAGGGAAACGTTTACCAACGCACTTCCCGCTGCTACTCGTCATCCTTGTTTTCCTCATCCTCCTCGACGGGTCAAGGCCCTTCCTCAGCATTCGCAGGGACGGCGGAGCGGCATTCCCGCTTCGCGGCCCCTGCACGCACGGCCCACGGGGGGGAACTGGAACGCTCGAGCCCAAAAGGGCCCGCAGAGAGAACACCATGCCAGCCGCCCTCCACCAGCCCCCATGCCACGAGCCAACAACACACACACATACCCATAAAGGGGGGTCGGAGAGGGCTACGGGAGCGTGTTGTCGAATGGGGGCCCCGGCTCGAACGGGAGCGCTCCCCAGGGTCCGACACCCGCGCCCATATCCATAACCAGTCCTCCTCCCAACGACCCCCCTATGGGTACAGTGGGGGCTCGGCCACAAGAAACCTCCGCGAGAAACCCAGCCCTGCAATCCGCGACTTGTTCGGGGAAAACCCAACCTTGTCGATCGAAAGTCGTCCAGATCTTACTGGGGGGCCCTCGAAATCCAAGAAGCCCAGGGCACCCTGGCAAAATCCAAATGGTTTCTTGGCACGTGCCCCCACTGTACGGATGTGCGTGTGTGTGTGTGTTGTTCGTTCATCGCCATCCTGTGCGAGGTGTTGGCGGGGGAGGCGGGCGGGGCGGGGGAGGCCACGGCAGGGGACAAACAACAGAGCGAGAACCTAGAGACCGCCCTCGCTCCCCAGTGGTAGGGAAACGACGAAAGGCATAAACATAGAAACTCAGAGGTCCGCGCGGACTTCTTGGATCAGCGCTGGAACCCCGTGCCTGGCGCGCCGAGCGCGCCAGGGGCGGCTCCGGAGGCGCCGCCAAGGGGCCGCCGCCGATCCGAGAAATCCGCGCGGACCTCCGAGTTCTTATGTTTATGTCATTGCTCGTTTCCCTAAGTGAGGCAACTCCTGCATGCTCTACCAAGCTGGGGGCCCTGGGGGGCGGGGGCCAGTTCGAGTCCAGCTGGCCCAAGGCGTCCCACCCGCATCACTCTGGCATCAGAGGGGAAACTTCAAAAAGTCAAACTGTCAAATACCCCTGACATCAGCAATCCGTCCGTAGCACGTGTCTTGACATATGGAAGATTGGCCTGGTGCTCAGCTCCGAGACGAACCAACATATCAACTTCTCGGAAGCCGCTACAATCCCATTTAGAAACATATTGCATCAGTGCCGCCACGCGGCTTAAATGCGGTTTCGCCTTCATTAGATAAATACTACTATAGCCAATGCCACCAACGACTCTCAATATGCGAACCCACAGCTCACTAAGATGTTCATGAATCCATACATCCAAATATCGGCCACCATCTTGCAGTCAGTCGCTATCAGTGTCGAACTTGGCCCGGCGAAGCACAAGGCGGCGGGCGAGGCGAATACCTCCCCGCATCCTGCCATCTGCAGCGGGCGACGCAGAGGGCCGAACCGCGAAGCTGTTTTCATTCCCTCATTCATCCACTCTCACCACTCCATACCCTGCCCGCGCGAATCTCCAACGCCCTGGGTCGATGGCGGATGTATCGATGCAGACGAACCCTGGATCGAAGGCCCCATGCCTAGGAACAGGATTCACTTCGGCACGGCAGTGACATGTGGCTTCGGCCATCCCCACTCGGAACTGGGGTACAACAAAACTGGTTGATCCAACATCATATTCTGCATCGTCTCTTCCTGCCTGCACGATTTCCTTTAGACCGAGGTCCCGACTGGGGAGCTCCGACCCATCGCGATGATGCAGGCGATGCTGGGTAGACCCCGATGCCTGCAAACGCCGCTGCCACCGAGGGTCTGCTACGCGACGGTCTTCAAATCCGATCTGCTGGGCGGGGGAACCTGTCGCGATCGCCGTGGCAAGCTGGGCCGCTGACGATCCTCCCCCTACGCCCGATGCTCCGCAAGATGCTTAACAGTTGGCTGAAAACATGGACCAGCCTCAAGACCTCGCATTGCCATCTTCCCCCCCCAATCCCTGAATCCGTCTGCGCCTCGTGCTGGCACAAACCGCGCGAAAAGAACGATTGTCGAACTCGCGGGGGCCGATCGGGGCGCCGTCGCCTGTGGCCCAGGCGTCCCAAGCGGCGATGCCTTATCCTCGCTTTTTCAGAGCAAAGACGATAGCGCTTGTTGGGCCCTGTGCCATCTGTCGTCGGCAATGCCCGCGGGCGCTTCAGAGCCTGGCATGATCTTGTCGGGTGCCCAGAGCTGCTGCAGAGCCTGAATCCACCTCGACGCTCAAACCTGCTCGACGCGTGAAACTCGAAGAAGGTCGGCGAATCTCGGCGGCGGCGCGCGCGGGCGGGAGCTCCGCGCAGCCGCCCTTGAGGCCCTGACCTGCCTACCTGCGGCTTCCTCTGAACGAAATGCACCAGCTCGCCGTGACGATCAAGCGATTTCTCCGCTTCTGTCGCGGGCTTCCAATGCCTTGCCACGACGCTTCCTGCTCCTCTTGCGTATCAGCGGGCCCCGGCGGGCCCTTGCCCTGCGGCGAGGCACTCAGGGCCTGGGCAAGAGGCCCACGGGTGCAGCCGCGCGGATAATCGGCGCCAGCTACGACAGAATCCGCGGCCCACTTCCCCCACCGGGCCCCGTTCTGTGCGCTGAGGCATTTCCAGCTTCGCTGTCCAGCGCTCTTCTCGGTCGCGTCGAGCTGCGGTGCCCGCCGCCGAGAGATCATGGAGATCGCCCTGCCCGGTCGGCTTCCAGCTCAACCAGTCGACGGGCCAAAACACAAGGGCCAGCTCATAGTACCCTAATGATTGCAGGATGACGATTGACAGAAAATAAGGGGAACGATTCAACCGCATACTTCCATTGATATTCAACGGATCAAACATGTCTATTGCGCGTCGGCTTCGCATCTTGCGTCGAATGCTGATTCCGCGTCGTCGTCAAGTTTGTCGCCAAAGACCGGTTCGACGCAGGATTCAAACTTTTAGGTCGAATACTGGTTCCACGTCGGCTTCGAGCGCTGTCTAGTGCCGATTTGACGTCGGATTCAAAGGTTACGTCAACTACGCAATCCACGTCGGATTTGAGATTTACAATCAAAATGAATTTCGCGCCCGAGGACGGCAGGGAGGGAGCGAGTGCAAGAATGATTCCCCAGCCCGCGGCCGTTTTTTTCTAATCACCCTCCGGGGCGGCGTCGACGCAGCGCGACCCCCAGTCATTTAAGTAATCGTCATCCTACATTAAGCCTTGCGGGCCCCCCCAACAGAAATCGCCCGTGGCCTTCCTGGAGCCAGCTCGAAACTGTTATCCGACCGCGGCTTTCAGGGCACCCGAGAGGGAAGGGCCCCCCAGCTGTGCGACGGGAATTAACTTGCCTTAGCTTGTGCTGATTGCACCGACCTTCGAACCTATCTTCTCGGCCACGAGCTTGGCGCGCGCTCGGCAGCTCAGCTTCGAAGGGCGCCTGGGCGCCCAAGAAACATCCTCTGCATATCATCGAGCCTCCGACCTTCTGAGCCCGGCCGAACTCGCTGGGCGCCGTTGGCCCCGCCTGCAAGTTCCCTCCTCGGATTTCGGGCGCGCCTCAGGAACGGAATGCTTCGCCAACTCGCGCCTGTATGCGCGCGCCCCCACCCCCCCCTCCCGTCCTAGCGAGGAACCTTGCGGGGGGGGGGGGAGGGGGGGGGGGCGGGGCGCCTGCGTCGAAGCCTCCAGGAACGCGCGCGCTTGCCCCAGCGAGGGCCGCTCTCGGCGGGGGGGGGGGCGTGTGAGAGGGGGCTTCCCGTGCCGACGCGGACGAGTGCCGCCGCGCCCGCGCCCGAGCTCGCGCCGCCAGCCTCCGTGAGGGGCGGGCGGGGGCAGGCGTCCCGCCCCGACTAGCGAACTCGAGCACCCCCACTCACGTCCTGAAGTCAGTTTCGACGGATAGCTCCTGCGCCCAGGCGACCGACGCGTCTGTTGAACTATCCGAATACCGACGCATCGAACTCCACGAATGAGCACTGCAAGTTTCGATATTGAGTGTCGCCGTTTCCCTGCGAGACCCAACAGGCGCTGACCTAGCAACGTCTGGCTGGCAAATCGGTGGGGGCGGGGCCTACTTCGGAAGATGGCGCTGAGGCCTGCGTAGCAGTGGGCCCAGAGTGAGGCCCCAGGGGTATCTCGACAGGCCCCTCGCCCGAAACGTGACGCCCAAGGGCTCCGCTGGGATCAAAACGTGAACTGGTGAGCCCGAGGCAGGACCCCAGGTGGTCGGCATCTTCTGACAGGGCTGGCGCGCCCTCGTCAGACTGCATGATGCCCCCCCCCCCCCCCCCTCCCGCAAGGCCTCTGGCCGAGGCGCTTGTAGGGGGGTGCTCCGCCAGGAAACCATCGCGGCAAGAGGTGCAAGAGCCTCAGCTGCCCGCTGTCTGACTCCCGCAGCAACGGAAGGCACTGCTGGAGCTGGTGCCGATGGGCCCGAGAACTGGCCCCCAAACCTGGCACGGCCCAAGGCTTCGACCCGGGCCCCTCCTGGCGCGGGCATGGTGCTCCAACGGCGGCCTTAGACAATCCAGCGGCACTTGCTGGCTCAGCGGAGGGCTCGCGGCTGCCTGGATGTCCGGCTGGTGGTCCTGCTCTTCCGCTGGCTGATCTACTCGAGGCCGCTTTCTTGCCAAGCGCTGCAGATGCTCTAGGTGTTCAGCTCGCATAGTGGTGATGTCCTCCATGGCCTTTGCGACCAAGTCCTTCGTGATACCCTGCACCTGCGAGTTGAGGGCGTCAGCCCGTGCCTTGAGGTGACGTTCGCATTCCTCCGTAAGAATGTCATCATCAAAATTGAAACCTCCTCCAGATCAAGAAGGTGGGCAGCTGCAGCCGAGCCATCCACTACGCTTGACATCGGTACCTTTGCTGGGCCGCTTCTTGTCAGTGCAACCCCGCCCGCCTTGTCGAGCTCGGCGACCATTTCACGGTACTGATCATATGCGTGCTGCAGTGCCTCCTGCATATCCGAAGGAACCTGGTGCTGCTGGTCCACCTGCTGCTGGAAGCGTTCGAGCTTGCCAAGATCGCTGGCCAGGGTGTCTTCCCCTGGGTGCGAGTATCCACGCAGTGGGGCCCTCTACTGTAGCGGTGGTTTGACAGCATTGGCCTGCATGACGCGTAGAAGTTCACGGTGCCAATCAGCCGCAGCGTTGTCTCCTGCTCGCTCGGTGTGAGTGATGACTTGCT